GGGGGGTCTCTAATTTTTTTTCTAAGCAAGTCCAGACATTTTTGGCCTCTGGTGGAACTCCAAAAAGCAGTTCCTTTTAAGCTGCAGGCAAAGGCCTACATTGCACTGCTGGCATTTCCAAGGAGTGCTCCTCTTACAGACAGTGCACTGCTTCCTTCCCAAGGTTGCCCTGTGCCTCTTTCCCATATCTCTAGTGCTCGTAGGGACAGGAAAGTGTCCTTGACTTGGGAACTCAGGCTTGCCATCCAAGCAAACACCTAGGAGGTGTGCAGCGAGCTCCTCCTGGAAGGCCTGCCGTGTCTTGTGCTTCTGTTGCTTGCTGATGCACAACTCTTTGTGAAGAATGAAACTGTTGGTAACTGCAATGTCCAGTAGATGCTGGAAAACTGTCCTGTTCGATCTTTTGGTTTTGCAAAGGACTGAATTTGTTCCTAGCATCTGGTCTGATGTGTCCACTCCTCCCATGTATTTATTGTATTCGGTCACAGCTGTCGGTCTGGGGACAGAAACGCTCTCAAAATGTCCATCTTCATTTTTCTGCCAGCGTAACACTGTGTCCCCACTGTACACAGGGTGGACGGTGGTACAGATGGCGACTTCTCGACTGTCCACCCATTTTACAAATAAAAGGTCACCATCCCTGATCCACCGAATGGAGCCTCTTGGTGATCTTTTATGGAGAGCATTTTCCTGAGAGGATGGAACACCCAGTCTGCCCTCCCTGTATGTACCACAAGCCCCAAATCCCTGCTTTTTCAAGTGTTGGAAGAGGCCTGGGCTGGTGTGGAAGTTATCACAGTAGACAATATAACCTGATCCCAGAGAGTCTTTGTCCACTAGTGATGTAACCACATCAAAAGAGAGTCCTTTCTCTGATGACAACTTTGATTTTCCTGTGTATGGCTTGAAGTCTATGATGTAGCCATTTACATCAGCAAGAACAAAAAATTTTAGCCCCCACTTGGTGGGCTTGGCAACCATCCTCTCTTTAACTGAAATGTGCTGCTTTGGGTGGTAGTTACTCATGCAACGACTTCTCATCATCTCAAGGAGAGGTCTGACCTGGTGAAATGTGTCATAGTCCTCTGTGCCCTTTTTCTTGCCATAGGCCACGTCTTCTTCTGGATCACTGATATGAAGGTTAGAATTGATGGCCATAAATCGGTCTTTGGACATCACAGTGGCAGGAAAAGGAACATGAAAAATTGTGTTACTCCTCCAAATGTCTACCATTTTTGGAAAATTGCAGACTGCCATGTAAAGTAACAAGCCCAGGTACTTTTGTAGTTCTTCTGGTGTAATTTCCTTCCATGCAAACGTTTTGCCCTTTTCCTTTTTTTTTGCCGCACTCTTGTTTGTGTTTTCACACAAGCATTTTAGTACTTCGTCATCAAAGAATTTGGAGAAGATATCACCTGGGGATTGTGCAGAATTGAGAGGAGGTTGAATACCAGGGGTTCTCTTTGGTCTGAACCTTGGTGGTTGAGGGACAGCATCATCTGGGTCTGCCTCTGTTCTCCAAGCCACTGGACGATGTGGCGACCGGCTGCGAGAGGCATCACCACCAGCTCCACGGCTTTTCCGATGTACATGGCACCGGCCTCGACTTCGGCCACAAATGGCACGGATCCCTGCTGAAGTCCTCAACATGAATGAATGAAATCCACCCCACCCCAGCAAAAAAAAAAAAGGAAAGAAAAAAATTTCTGTTATACTTGCTGACTCTCTTTTCTGTCAACCAACCTTCGTTTTCACAGGGTTGCGTTCACCCTGTGCCTGGGATAATGAACCTAATTTCAATAGAAAGTGCAGA